TCTATCATCACTTAAAAACACACAGGAAAACAGAATTTTCAGTGGTAATAGCACTGAAAGATACATAGCATAAAGATACATAGCATAAAGATACATAGATAGGAAGACAAGCCCCTAGCTAACATCATACTAAGTGGTGAAAGGTTAAAAGCCTTTCCTCCAAGATCAGGAAAAGACAAGGATGCCCACTCTCACCATTTCTATCCAAAATAGAACTAGAAATACTAGCCATTGCCATAGCAACTAAGCAAGAACAAGAAATACAAGATATCCAAATCAGAAAAGGAAGAAGTAAAATTATTTCTCTGTGTAGATGATATCTCATATATAGAAACCCCTAAAGATTCCCCCAAAAGCTGTTCCAACTAATACATTAATTCAGTAAATTTGCAAGATCCAAATTTTACATACACAAATCACTTGTATTTCTACACACTAACACTGAACTATCTAAAAGAGAAATTTAAAAAGCAATCCTAGGGGCGCCTGGGTGGCACAGTCGGTGGTTAAGCGTCCGACTTCAGCCAGGTCACGATCTCGCGGTCCGTGAGTTCGAGCCCCGCGTCGGGCTCTGGGCTGGTGGCTCAGAGCCTGGAGCCTGTTTCCGATTCTGTGTCTCCCTCTCTCTCTGCCCCTCCCCCGTTCAAGCTCTGTCTCTCTCTGTCCCAAAAATAAATAAAAACGTTGAAAAAAAAATTTTAAAAAGCAATCCTATGCTATTTACAGTAGCATCAAAGGCCATAAAAACTTAGGAATACAGTTAACCAATTAGGTGAAAGACTTGTACACTAAGAACCATAAGACATTGATGAAAGAGATTGAAGACAGAAATAAATGAAAAGATACCCTGTGATCTTGGATTGGAAGAATTAATACTGTGAGAATCTCCATACTAGTCAAAGTGTTGTACAGATGCAGTGTAATCGTTATCAAAGTTCCAATGGCATTTTTCACAGAAAACAAAACAAAACAAAACAAAACTATCTTGTAGACCCCAGATAGCCAAAACAATCCTGAGAGAGAACAAAGCTGGAGGACTCTCACTTTCTGATTCAAGCTATATTACACAAAGCTATAGTGATCAAAACCATATGATAATGGCAAAACAAAAACAAAAACAGCTACATAGAACTAGTAGAGCAGAAAGAACAGAGAGTCAAGATATAAATCCAATCACATGTGGTCAACTAATTTGTGACAAGATCACTAAGAACACACAATGAGGAAATGACAGTCTCTTTAACAAATGGTCTTGGGAAAACTGGATATCCCTATGCAAAATAATCAAATTGGACCCCTATCTTATACCACTCACAAAAATCAACTAAAAATGGATCAAGGATTCCAATGTAAGACCTGAAACCATAAAACTCCTAGAAGAAATCATGAGAGAAAAATCCTTAGCATTAATTTTAGCAATGAATTCTTAGATAAGACACCAAAAGCACAGGCAACAGAAACAAAATAAACAAATGAGACTATATCAAACTAAAAGCTTTGGCACAAAAAAGGAAACATTGAAAAGGCAAACCTACAAAAGGCAAAAAATTGAAAAGGCAACCTACAAAATGGAAGAAAATATTTGCAAAATATATAATTATAAAATATAAAAACATACACAAAACCATAAAGAACTCCTACAAAAAAAAATCCCAACAAATGGTCTAATTAAAAATGGGCGAAGGGGGGCGCCTGGGTGGCTCAGTCGGTTAAGCGTCCGACTTCAGCTCAGGTCACGATCTCGCGGTCCGTGGGTTCAAGCCCCGCGATGGGCTCTGGGCTGATGGCTCGGAGCCTGGAGCCTGCTTCCGATTCTGTGTCTCCCTCTCTCTCTGCCCCTCCCCCATCCATGCTCTGTCTCTCTCTGTCTCAAAAATAAATAAAGGTTAAAAAAAATTTAAAAAAAAATGGGCGAAGGACCTGAATAAATATTTTCTCCAAAGATATCCAATTTGGCCAAATGGTCCATATCAAAAGGTGTTCAATATCACCATTTATCAGGGAAATACATATGAAAACCACAAAGAGACACTAAATAACTGTCAAAATGGCTACTTTCAAAAAGATAAGGGGCGCCTGGGTAGCTCATTTCGTTGGGCGTTGGGTGTCTGACTTCGGCTCAGGTCATGATCTTATGGCTTATGGGTTTGAGCTCCATGTTGGGCTCTGTGCTGACAGCTCAGAGCCTAGAGCCTGTTTCAGATTCTGTGTCTCCCTCTCTCTCTGCCCCTCCCACACTCGTACTCTGTGTGTGTGTGTGTGTGTGTGTTTGTGTGTGTGTGTGTGTGTGTGTGTGTCTCAAAAAATGAATAAATATTTTAAAAATTAAAAAAAAAAAAAAAGATAAGACATAGGGGGCACCTGGCTGGCTCATTTGGTGAGCCTGTGAGCAACTCTTGATCTCAGAGTTTTGAGTTCAAGCCCTATGTTGGGCATGAGGTTACTTTAAAAAAAAAAAAAGATAAGAAATAACAAATGCTAGCAAGGACAAGGAGAAAAGATAACCCTTACACAGTGGTGGTGGGAATGTAAACTGGTATAAACATGATGGAAAACAATATGGAAGTTTCTCAGGAAATTAAAAATAGAATTACCATAAGATCTAGCAATATATCTCTTGGGTATACATCCAAAGGAAATGAAATCAGTATCTCAAAGAGATATCTGCATGTCCATGTTCCTTTCAGCTTTAATTCACAATAGCCAAGATACAGAAATAATATAAATGTCTTCCAATGGATAAATAAAGAAAATGTTACATATTTTAAATGTGATATATGTTACATATATATATGTATATATGTACATATATATACATGATTCAGCCATTAAAAAAAGAGAGAAATCCTGCCATTTGCAACCACACTGATAAACATGGAGGGCATTATGCTAAGTAAAAAAAGCCAGATAGAATGGTAAATGCTATAAGGTATTACTTATTTGTGAAATCTTAGGGGAAAAAAAAGGCCGATTTCATAGAAACAGAGAATAGAATGGTGGTAGACAAGGGCTCAGGGAAGGAGGGAATGGGGTGATGTGGGTCAAAGGGTACAAATTTTCAGTTATAATAAATTCTCATGATCTAATGTATGGCATGGTTGCTATAGTTAATAGCATAATACCATATACTTGAAAGTTGCTGAGAGTATATCTTTGGCATTCTCACCACATACACAAACAGGAAAAAGAGTTAACCATGTGAGGTGGTAGATATGTTCGTAATCTTAATCATGGTAATCATTCCATAATGTACATTTATATCGAAACCTCACACCCTGCGCTTTAAATATATACAATTACTTTTGTCAATTATTCCTCAACAAAGTTAAAAAAAAAAAAAAGATACGTGGCTAGAGGCAAGTCAGCCAGTACCCTTTATGATGGTGTTCTTAAACACTGTGGCACAGTCTGCTCATCTCTCACCTTTATAGGTTGGCAAGACTCTGTACCAAACTGTGGAAAGGGTAAAATAATAATCATTATATATATTTTTTCCTACTGTTTTGATTCTTAAACTTCTTAAAAACATTTCAAATTCTCAAATATATGGAATCTGGAATAGATGTCATCTATGTATAAATACATCTAAATGTATTTAACCAAGATAATATTTTCTTGATCGTTATTAATGTGGAAGTAAAATTGGCATTTACACATAGTTTTAGAGAATCGGTAGCAGGTAGAAATTAAGTCCAGACAAGTCTCCAAACTCATCTCAAGCCATCTTAATAATATTTTTCTATGTTTTCTAACTCACAGCCCATTTCCATATGCCAAGAAGAAGGGAAGAATCGTATCTTCTGCACTATATTTTAGGAATAAATACAGTTGAAAAAACTGAATGTACATCCAACAAAATATGGCCCCCAAAACCTCATATATAAAAATTAATATATATTCTAAATTTTGATATTTTACATAAATACATTAATATATATTTCAAAAACGGTTCTATACTTCTGCTTATTTTTCCAAATCATCAAAAACCCCTTTATAGCCAATGAAATGATCAGTGACTTGAAAAAACATTTTCTAACACAATTTTATCTTTACATATTATAGCATATAATATTAACTAATAATCATTGAGCTAGTAATTTCCTGAGGGCAAAACAGAATATCCAAATTAATGTACAAATCATCTGATTTGATCATCTGGTCAATCACTATATGACTTCTAGTTGTAAATAGGAATATTTCAGGAAAAATATTAACAACAGTTTTTAAAATTTTTAAACATTATTGAATCAATAAACTATGTGGAAATCCCAGTAAATGCAATTCAATCTACACCAAAGATGAACTAGACTTTAACACTATCTTAACAATTACTAAGTGGCTACTGAGTATTAAACAGAGATGTACATGCTCATGTTAAATTAGAACTAAGGGATAGAGATAAAAGGAAAAATTTTAATCCACGTTAACGATGGGAAAAAGTTCAAAGTCTATCTTATTTCTGTGTCGAGTCATTGGTCCAAAATCTTTGTCAGTCATAGTCTAGCCTTTAAAATTTCATTTATCATGATTATTATCCAAGAAAGATGTTTAATTCCCTAAATTTCCTTAAATAATGTTTATAAAATGCCTATGTCACTGCCTACACCGATTTGCATCAGCCAACCCAAAATAAGCAACTATTTAAGGAGCTCTGATGACAAATAATTTGTCACTATATAGGTCAGCTCTCTTGTTAGTAATAATAAAAACTGACATTTACACAACACCATTTGTACAGAAATTTCATATTGAGTCTCCAAACATTTATTCATTAATACTTCCAACATTTCTATGCACTATTTGGCAAACATTCATCTCCATTTCACTGATTTATAAAGCAAAACCCTAACTCATAAAATGACATGAACCTAGTTACTCCATTTTCTACCTCAGTCCATTTCTATCTGCCAGGAAGAAGAGAAGAATAAATCTAGCATGAAATAGTTTGGCTACCTCGGGAGATATCCAATTCGTGGCATTTGGGTCTTATCTATTCCCACCTTTTTATAGGCGATCCAGTCAAACACCCTGTCAATATCTGTTGCCTGTAGCACTTCCTGTGATACTGGATGGGAACTGGCCAAGCCGTCAAGCAGCATCACTTCATGCAGAACATCCGTCAGAAACCTCTGTTTTTCCTGCAATACAGTAGATGTGGCAATATCATAGGTGATTCATGGTTATGACAGAATGTGTGTGACAACATGAACAGAACGTGTGTTACTTAACAGACGATGTTCATCAGCCTACATGGTAAGACTGAACTTCAAAGAGAACCCAGTGAATAAAATGCCTCTTCAATTACTCTAAAATGAGAGTGGTTGATTTGAGCACAACGTGAAACAAAATCAATGGGCTACAATGGGCCCTAAATAGATTAAAAAACAATGGACTGTTCCTTAACAGGGGTTAAAGCAAATTCAGACAGTGGGCACATAAATGAAATAGACTAAGCTTGTTTATGTGTTCTACAGGATGAAGACTGCAGTTTCAGTCCCAAATAACCTTTTTAGTGAAGTTCAATATAAGAATAATAACTAAATCTCAGGGTTCCAGTGCTATTTTGCTATTTACACCGTTTATTTGTAGAACCATCTGAGCAACACACACTCTCTCTCTCTCATCCTCCCACTTTTCCTTCCCCAAACCTGCCCTCCCATGTAATTTTCACTCTAACACACTCACCTACACACACACACACCACCACCACCACCACCACCACCACCACCACCACCACCACATTTATTCTGTGAAAGAATTTCAGGAAACCACAACAAATAACAAAAGGCATATTGACATAAACTATATTCATAGACATGAATGTGAATTCAGGATAATGAACATAAAGTGGAGATCAATAGGTATTAACAACCCATTACTATAAAGTGGTGAAAACAAAGAAAATCGTAAGATTTCTATTCGGTGTGATGTTGAGGCCTTTGTATTTGCTCTGATAAAAGCTGATTTGTTATATTAGAAATAAACTGTAAAGGAAAAGTACTTCTCTGTTGCTTTTGTTTTAAGAAGCTTGCTTTAGAGAAACAGCTTGGGTTTTGTTAACAAAAATGCTGGCAGCTATTAGTTCTCCTGGCCTCCTGCCTTCACTGAGGGAGGAGGGAGAAAAAAAGAAATTGGAAGCGATAACAAGGCTAAATAGCCCCCAGATAGCTGGGACCTGAGGAGTATCATTACAGATATTAAAGACTGCAACACTTAAATTGCTATAGCTAATTCTGAACTCACTCCTGGAGCCTCCTACTTTGAGCCGGCAGATGAACCGCATGTTATTTCTGAGTGAGTCGTAATGTCAAGCTGAGATTACACCAATCTTAGATTTAAAAAAAAAATAGAAATGGAGAATAAATATGATTAAAAAAAGGAATAGTTAACTAGGCATATATGTGTGTGCTCTTTAAATCTGCTTCTAAAGAAGCATCTTAGTTCATCATTTGTTCAATGATTTAGTATATTTAATCAATAATTTAATTAATTCTCCAGCCAACTACATACTATAAGGTTTATTTCTAATAGCTTATTTTTATAGTCTGTGGACCATAGATCTAATTTCTTCAGCCCTTTTTTGGTCTGAGATTTTCTCGTCAATGGTCTATACTCCATCAAACTGAATTGGGACTGAACTGCTCCCAGAGGTCTGCTTCAGCCCCCAAGAGCCAATGGTGAGAAGTTCAAATTTACAATGAATTGACAATATGACATAAACTGATACTGTATTTCTTCTCAAATGAAGTGCCTAATTCAAGACAAAATTAAGGAGAGTGAAGTTGGGCTTTATGATTTACAATTTTAATGGAGTTCCTGGGTAGCTCAGTCAGTTAGGCGTCCCACTTCACTCAGGTCATGATCTCGTGGTGAGTTTGAGCCCCGCGATGGGCTCTGTGCTGACAGCTCAGAGCCTGGAGCCTGCTTCGTTCGGATTCTGTGTCCCCCTCTCTCTCTCTGCCCCTCCCCTGTTGACACTCTCTCTCTCTCTCTCTCTCAAATAAATTTTTAAAAATTTTAATATAAAATTTTAAAATAAAATGATTGGTAGTTTATTTTAGAACCCTATAAAATAAAGATAAGATCTCAGACAAAAGGCCTAGATTGAGAGAGTAAGAGGAAATCATGTATTTCCAAAATAAAAATGTTAATGTTACTTTTAAGCAGGTATGCAATCTTGTTACTCTTACTCAATTTAAAAACACACATTAAAACTATTTGATATTGGAATTAATGGGTGGGATCATGGAATATATCACTATACCTCAACTTCACTGATGAACACTTTTATTTATAAGAAATACCAGTTGAAGATATGATTTCCATTCTGAAGAAAAAATATACAACTCTTTAAATAGTGGTTGCCCACTCCATTATGGAACTCAAACATCTGATCGAAACCATAGTGTAAAATGAACTTAAAATAGTGTTTTATCTGAATCCTAATTTATACTATTCAGCACCAATAAACATATATTGATCAATATGAAAATTCAGTATACATATCTTCTTTGGCTAGCAATATGATTTTAAATGATATAAAGCAATTAATTACAAATAGTTATAAATTAATTACAAATAATGATATAAAGCAAGTAATTAGTAAAGTGAAACCTAAGGTAAATTTCTAAAACGAAACTCTCTTATTTAAGGAAATACAAGTTATACGTAATATGTTGCTTCACGCTTCTGGAGAAAAACAAAAACAAACCTTTGCCTCCTCAGTAGAATTTCAAGAAACAGTGTTTAAATTTAACAATGTTGAATCGTTAGCAAAAGGTTCATTTTCTACATTGTTGGAGAGAATGATATTGTATAACTGAGGGAAAAAAAAGACATTAAAGGAGATTAAAAGGGAGGAGAAAAAAATAAAAAAGAAAAGCTTGGCAGACGAACACTCACTAAACTTGGAAGAGAGAACACCTTAAACTGAGGAAGAGAAAAGAAAATTCTAGCCAGAGGCAAATCCAATTTAACAAAACTACAAAGAGTTTCCAGGAGAGATGGTGCTAATTTCTTTATAAAAACTTGTGTCACTTTAAAATTAAAAAATGATCTTAGCTTGTCAGTCCCCTGCTGGGGTGCTCTCCCCCCATGCTCAACAACAATAATGATAACAGTAACGATCACAAAGTATTGATTAATTGCCTACTGCCAACCTGAGACCATTAAAATTTCAAAATAAAGTTAAAGAAATCCTGGCTCTAATATGAGATAAGAGATCAAACAAAATAGTTGGATTCTGTGAACAAAATAGTGGTTTTCTCTTACAGACTAGAAATGCCAAAGGAAATTTGAAGGAAAAAAATTACTGTAAAATGGAATTATTTATGCAAAGTTTAATGGAAGAAGTAGAATTTGTCTGATCCTTGAAGGAGTTTTAAAATTGTGTGTGTGTGTGTGTGTGTGTGGAGAGAATAGTATATTTATGGTGCATATTTAACAGATAGCTTTTATTCTAGTTCATATATTAAGGTCACCATGACAAACTAATTTACCACTTTCAAAAAGCAGCACAATAAGGTAAAACATGAAACTATAAAATCTGTGTAAATGAGTTTAATGTTAATAATAAGAATAAATCCTATCAGTCTAATATAGACCCTTCTTGGAGTTTTTACATGTCTACATTTAAACAGTTCAAATAAGGTCATTACAAAATACCACAGGGGAAGATGGCGGTGTAGGAGGACGCTGGGCTCACCGCGCGTCCTGCTGATCACTTAGATTCCACCTACACCTGCCTAAATAACCCAGAAAACCACCAGAGGATTAGCAGAACGGAGTCGCCGGAGCCAAGCGCAGACAAGAGGCCCACGGAAGAGGGTAGGAAGGGCGGCGAGGCGGTGCGCGCTCCACGGACTGGCGGGAGGGAGCCGGGGCGGAGGGGCGGCTCGCCGGCCAAGCAGAGCCCCCGAGTCTGGCTTGCAAAAAGCGGAGGGGCCTGACGGACTGTGTTCCGACAGCAAGCGCGACTTAGCGTCTGGGAAGTCATAAGTTAACAGGTCTGCTC